GACCTAAGTTTTGCGCAACTCAACCATGTTATCATTAGGTGGAAATTGATACTCATTTTGAAAGTCTAATGAACCAATTGTATGACCTGGTACCAACATCATCTGACTCAGTTGACGGCCTGAAAACAATACTTGTTTATGAATGTCAAAAGTATCACGCTACTAGATCTCCGTTGAACGGAATATTAACTAAGCAACATTGAGAAGCGGTCCAAGAACTTGTGAATAATCAAGATTTACTACTATCGAAACCGGATAAAGGTGCCGGATGGGTTGTACTAGACCGAAGCGACTACGACAGAAAAATGATGACTATTTTATCTGATGAGCTCAAGTTCATTTACCATCAGGGTGAGAAAGACAAAACACAAGAAGCCGAGACTAAGCTGACAGAGATCTTGAAGAAGCTTAAGTCAGAAAACGTTATTTCCAAAACGCTGTACCACAAGCTTGTGCCCTGCTGCTCACAACCACCTAGACTCTATGGACCACCAGAAGTACGCAAACCAAATATACCCCTAAGACCGGTGATTGGCATGAGCACCTTAGCCTATCACGCCACAGATCAGTGGATTGCAGAAATTCTTGAACCTATGCGCAAGTCACTAGCAAAATGTAGTGTGAAAGATTCGTACTCTTTTGTGGAGATGGCAAAACATCAGGATCTGTCTGAACGGACTATGCTTTCCCTAGATGTGGAATCCCTATTCACAAACGTTCCGTTGCTCGAGACGGCAGAATTCATCTTTCAATACTTGACTGATAATGATATCAAACTGGACATCCCTGTGGCCAACCTGAAAGAACTAATTCTTAGATGTACGTGGAATATACTATTTCTGTACAGCGGAAAATGCTACAGGCAGAAGGACGGGGTAGCAATGGGATCACCACTTGGGCCCCGTACCACGTGATTTTCATACGGTTACCATGTACAAATTCTCCCCAGTCCCACACCTCTTGTTTCACACCGTTTTTCGCACCTGTCTTTTCACGCCATTTGGTTGCACATCACATCAATTGTCGTCCACACAACGAACAAGATTCATCAAGTTGAAGCATGCTGTCGAGTTACCGGATTTGTTGCACATTTACTCACTCTCTACTATCTATAGCTGCACATATACTCTCCTTTACCCAGTACTATATATGTCAATGCCTGAAGTGATATATCGAAAAGAAATTTATTCGTGTTACAAGTTTTTTCGATGATAATAATAATAATAACAGTAATAACAATGACAATGATAATAACAATAATTATAACAATATTAATAATAACCATCCAAAAAATAGTTTGTTCTACCGTCGCTCTCACCATTTTTCTGTGAGCATTGGTAGATCTTACTTTGACAAGCTCCGTTTACCCTAGGCTTGCTCAAAAGGTTTTCAACTGAAATGCATGTTGATTGACGCGCGAGGACCATCACGAAATACCACTCTGATCACTACAGAATACAAATCTTGATTCCACATGCACGCGTGTTCTACCAAATGTCCCGAGATTATGGAAGACGAATATCTCAGTATCATGCGGATACATTAGGCTTTTTACCTAACTGACCGGATCTCTGGCACACAAAATGAGGTACAGATTATGTTTGATCTAAGTGTTATTTAAATGGCGCACTACCATATCCTGTATATACCTACCCGTTGTTTTGAACACCAATTTACAGGGCTCATCGATTATTATTAGTGTACCGAACGGATAGAAGTCTGGGATACTGTATAATTATGCAATGTGGTTGTTTACACCATCAAATTCATATTTGAGTGCCCTTGTTTTGATTTCCACCTAATATATATATATATATATATATATATATATATATATATATATATTTGTTAACTCCTCTCGAAAACACAACAGAATCATGCTGTTCATCGCACTTTGCTGAGAAAAGGCTAGAGGTGCATCCTCAAACAAAAAGGCCTACACTGGACTGGGCGGCCGAGTAGCACAACACTCCACGAAGCCAAAAAACCATGGATGGTTTTACTAACGCAATGATTGGCGGTCCTTTCAAGCGTACGCGTAACTGCTGTCCCAAACCGTACACAAGAACTTCCATTCCCATCTCAATTCTCTTCTCTCATTCTTTTTCTTTATCACACCCCACGGGAATTGCTGTCGACCGTGGCAGCTGTGGTGCCACTGGCGAAAATCCCGGCTATGTTCTCTCTCGTCGTTTTTCAGCTATCTTCCGAGTTTCACCGAGCCCGCTACCACCGGCTGATTCCCTTTTCTGTCCACAATGCCCATTCAAACTAACCACGTTCAACGTGTGAGCCCTGATGCGTATAGGAAAACAGGCGGCTTTTGCTTGTACGCTTGACTCCCTTACTATCGATGTGTGTTGCATTCAAGAGACTCGTATTCAAGACTCCAGTTCCATCAATCGATTGAAACTCCATATCTAACCCTTGCGTGAAGTTTTACTTCTTTAATTTCTGAGGACGCAAAAACTACATCTTCTGGTTTTGCTGGCGTTTGCATTGCTTTCAGTGAAAGGAATTAGGCGGCGCTGATAGACTGGATTCCAGCGAACAGTTGTTTATGCGCTTATCAAGAATGCTTTGCATTCGGTTGGCGTAGTAAGTTGTGGCCTGGTTCGTCATGCCGTAAGACCCTGGATTTCCGCTGAATTTCTGCGCTATCTCGACGTTCGCTAGTCGATCCTGGCTAGAAATGAGTATAACGAAGCCCGACTCGCAACAAGATGTGCACTTATTGCGAGCCCTTGTAGGGGTCTCGAAATATGGTGGTCACAACCTGCGCCAGAGATGGAACGTGCCGCCGCTATAGGAAATTCCCGCAAGCTGATCAATTTCATTCGAGCCAACAGTAGAAAGCCATTCGGTGTGAATGAGACAATTTGTGAAGCAGGCGGTTAGCCAGTTTACAATAAACAGCGGAGTCTCGAACGCTGGGCTGAGCATTTGCAGACATAATTTAGCTGCCCCTCGGTGTCAGCCTCTCCTGTAGCTCTTCCAGCACACGTCCAGTTGTTCGTTTCGATAGATCCACCCACCGAGGCGGAGATCTTCAGGTAAATCTAAGGCTCAGGACGCCACAAAGCGCCGGTCTCTGACGGCTTTTCCCCGGCTCTTTTCAAAGATGTCGAAGTGCAGCTCGTTAGAGAACTTCATGCTTTTTTCTTAAAGGTTTGAAATTTTGGGCAGGTCCCCTCCTTGTGAGGGAATCGATTTTTTCCTCGTCCTTAAGAAGAGCTCACGCCTTTATCCAATAACATTGAAGCTGCTTGCCTCTGCTATATTTCACACGTCCTACCGAAAGTGTAGCAAGCAAACTCAATTGCAACAGACTGGGTTTCGCTGCGGTCAAATCTTCACCCCCCGCCAACTGTTAGAGCACCGCCACACTTTCCAAAAAATATCAATCACCGTGTTATTGGAAATTCGTGCGGCCTTCGACTCTGTCGATAGAACTGTGCTGCGGAATTGTTTGCTGAGAAATGGAGTACCTAGGAAGTATGTATCAACCCTCAGAGAATTGTATTACCGCCCTTTAGGTCCGTTTGGGGTCTACGATCAGCTTTCACCCCCTTTTGACGCCTCCATTTAGGTACGACAAGACTGTCTTATATCTCCAAAGAGGATGCTTTATATAATTCTTTGTCTGGAGTTGAAGTCCTTCCAGGGAACGGAGTTTTCGGCTTACGACATGCCGATGATATCATACTGCTGAGTGGCAATGCAAAAGCAGTTCAAGACACTCTGAATAACTTGGCGATTGAGGTATTCAGACATGGTATGCACTTTGTGCCTTCCAAGTTCAAAGTACCTTTGCAAGACTTGCAACAGCCTATGCATGCACTCACTTCATTCGACGATCAGCTAGCAGTTAATCGATGAATTTAAGTACTTTGGGAGGTTCATAGCAACTGGAGGTAACGTTGGGGAGATTAGTTCACTAGTAGCGAGAGCTAGAGCAGTTTTCACAAACCTGATACATCTGTGGCATCGCCATGACATCCGGCTCTTTCTTAAGAGATCGGTCTACGTCACCTCAACTCGCAGTGGCTCACCCTATGGTTGCGAGGCCCGACCAACCCGCGTTGAGGATTCTCGGCATATTCCTGTGTTCAACAACCGATGTCTTCAAAGCATTAGTCACGACTGGTGGGAAAATCGAGTGAGCAATGACGAAGTGCGCCGTCGTGTGTTAGGCATAGATAGCTGCCCTCTTAACGAACTGATCACTCTACATCGTCCTCGGTGAATCGGTCATGTTTTGCTAATGCCTGTCCATCGTCTGGCTTTACGTGCTCTATTTGCATGTGCTGGGAAAGGCTGGAAGAAGCAAAGCGGCGGTCAGACCATGACTTGGCGTAGAGCTATAACGAAGCTAGCATCAGAATTGTCTTCGGTTAGTGCTTTCTGCCTCGCTGGTTGAGGTCAAAGGGACGAGGTTTGCCGTTAGTTAGAGACGTGGCTCAGAACAGAAGTCTGGGGCGCGAATGCTGTGCGGTCTGTCAGTCAAACTATCGTGTCCCATAAATACAGGAACGTCGTTCAGACAAAAAAGACTACAAAAAAATCATAACGTGTACGGGCACAAACCATAATAATCACGGCGTATGTGATCGTCTTACTAACTGCTTCGTTCATTGTTCTATCCCACACCTACCCCCCTCCGCTGTTTTCGTAATTTTGGTTGCTGCGTTGGCACCATGCTTGATTTTAAGCCAGTCATTAGTATTTGTAAAGGTTAAAAATAATTAAGAAGAAAACAGCTTGGCGAACAAGTTCGTTTTCAGTTATTCGTACTCATACCAATGCATAACATTAAATATGACTCAAAACAACACAAAGTGATCAACCAAATCTGTCCGTGCGTGTGTGTGAAACTGATCACAGTGGAGGATGTTCGGGTGGTTGCACACGTGTTCGGGACCAAGAAGTCGGCCATGGAAGTTTAAGTGCTTGCACAAATTGTTTCTGAGCCCACAGGGAAGGACTGTAGAATCGATTACTCACGACTTCATGAGAGTGAAATCACTGAAACAGAAAGGTATGATTGATGCGGTAACCTTTGAAAGGATATGACCAGCTGGGACAACGATTCCTAGACTGTACGGTTTACCGAAGGTACACAAAACGTTCCCTTTGAGACCAATTTTGGATATGTGCAGCTCGCCGTATCACACAGTAGCGAAGTGCCTGGCTAAATTGTTAGGACCAGTAAGAGTCATAATTTCCAGACACAGCCTACGACACACATTGCATTTTGCAGAGACTATGAGAAGGCAAGCAAATGATCTCGCTAGACGTTACCTCACTGTTCACCAATGTCCCGATCGCCGAAACAATCAACTATGTGATTACATGCAGGAGAACAGTATCGATCCGGGCAGCTCGTTGGATGAACTGAAACAGTTACTATTTGTCTGCACTCATAATATCCAGTATCACTTCAGTGGTGGTGGGGTCACCTCTGGGACCCCTCTTTACTGATATTTTCATGGCAAAATTTGAAAATAACCAACTCATGTCAACAATTGAAGGGTGCACCTTATACAAACGGTACGTGGACGATATCGTGTGTGGTAGATACCAAAGTTGATCCAAATGTACTACTTAATAGGCTTAACACAGCCCATCCAAATGTTCAATTCACTTTGGAACAAGAAAAGGAAAACAGTTTATCTTACTTAGATATTTGTGTAAGCCGTCGAAGTGATGGTTCCGTTCAGTTGTCAGTGCATAGGAAACAGCTTGGAATGGTCAATACATTCATTTTCACAGTTTCGTACCACTCAAAGTGAAGAGAAATCTAGTGCGTTGCGTGGTTAATAGAGCAAGGAAAATCTGCACACAAGACACATTAGAAAATAAACTTCGTTTTCTGAGGAGTGTTTTCCTAGAAAACGGCTATCCTGAACGGTTCATTGACAAAACGATGCAACGACATGAAGATAGGCCAATACAGACAGTAGTCGAAAAGAAGCCCGTATATATCCGTTCACCATTCAAAGGAGATACGGAAACTGAATTTATTCAACGAAGACTAACAGGAGCAGTCAGTAGAACATTCTGCGCTGCACAATTACAAATCATGTCCGAGTCCAAACCAATCATGTGTTTTCGGCTGAAGGATAGAGTGCCAGATTCTGCAGCATCTTTTTGTGTGTATTCATTCACCTGTTACTAGGGGACCAGATACGTTGGCCGCACGACCAGGTGCTTATCCGAACGTGTTCGTGAACACCATCTGACTTGGTTGAACACTGGAGCAATTAAGACAATTACGAGTGCTGTGTGTGCACACGTTGTTGAGTCAAACCTTTCAGTAGAGGTGATAAACGCTTTTCGAACCATTTACGAAGTCCGGGGCAAGCAATCAAGACTTGTCAAGTGTCGTATCTTAGCCACAACCGAAGCCGTGAGTATTCGATTCTACAGTCCTTCCCTGTGGGCTCAGAAACAATTTGTGCAAGCACTTAAACTTCCATGGCCGACTTCTTGGTCCCGAACACGTGTGCAACCACCCGAACATCCTCCACTGTGATCAGTTTCACACACACGCACGGACAGATTTGGTTGATCACTTTGTGTTGTTTTGAGTCATATTTAATGTTATGCATTGGTATGAGTACGAATAACTGAAAACGAACTTGTTCGCCAAGCTGTTTTGTTCTCAATGTACTCTGTGGGATTTTTCTGACATTTAGAAATAATTACTTATAATCGTTTTAGTCCAGTTCTCCTAATCACCAACTTATTACTTCTGTGCTCTGATTTTGGTTATTACCTGTCACTTTCATCTAATCAGCACTGAAATAAATCGAACTATGGACAGCAAATAGACAGCTACTTCAGTTAATGGTAAAAAAATGCATAGACAAACAGGAGGTTTGTATACAAATACGCCATGAACCACGGCACTTGGGCATCTCGTCTAATGCCTCCAAATATCCATTTGGCGGACCTCATTGATCTGAATTTGGAAGCTTGACAATTCCCTGTCGGTCAAGTCCATCGATCCCATTGTATGGGCTGGCCAGCGTGAACCAATTTGCAACCGCTGTCTGCTTCGGAAATCAATGTGCATCTACGTGGTCTATGTGCCGGCACGTGTAACACATGCCCTCTTCACCGTAACCTTTTCAGATCCAGACTTTTTGCCTTGTGGAGTTAGACTGTTTAGTTTAAGATCCCCATTAGGGTTCCAGAAGAAAGTCTTATCCAGTCTAACCGTCGTCCCACCACCTTCCGGCTTCTGAGTCAAAGACTACCGTTGGGGTAACCGGAGTAAAATCTTTTCACGGTGTGTGGAACAGTCTACCAGGAGACCTTGAAACCTTTTCTGCAAAATTTATTTCTATCTTCCATCCCTCTAATTCGAAATTGGTGCATGACAGCATGGATAACTACGACCCAAGAGACACGCCCGACGTTATTAATCGTCCAGCAGCGAGACATAAATTAAACGCATTTCTCAAAGTCGAAGTTTCAGTCTACTTATTTAGAACCTCTCGTCACACATAATTCTTTGTTTTCTTATTCCGCTCCTCTGCTGACTATTTTGCACTGTAGTTTATCATTGTGAACTACGGGTAGCCATCAAATTCACAGTACTATTATTTTATTTTTTTGGGCTAACCAAATGGTGGGCGAACGTCTGCTGCATTGCATATCCAGATTAGGAGTATGCCTACAGGTCAGTTAATCGATTTACTTTAAAAATAAGAAAGACAGAAAAACAGTCAATTTACATTTCTACACCAAATTTATCAAAATTTCGTAGAATCACATTCAGTTTGAGGTGCACATAACCCATGCTCTCAGTCTGCAGGTAGAAACGATCAGTGGGATTGTAGACGATTTCCAACCGGCGCAAGTGTGGTCCACCTCCGATAAATGTCGAACAGATGTGATCTATGGCTGTACCGACCGGTCTCCACATAGCCACATCGATCTAAGCAGGAGATAATGGGATTTCAAACAGGATCATTCAGATTTACTTCATGATATCCAGGCGAGGTGGGTAAATGACAAAATCCATATCCGTAAATATCATACCGTCCGACCCAATCGTAATGCCAAATCTGGAAATGTAGTTTGGGCCAACCTGAACAAAAGTGCAACGGTCAATTGCAATCAGATAGAAAATTACCTTGTAACCCTTTAGTAGCAAAATGAAGATCTATTGGGTGACAAAAGTGGGCAACTTCTCCAACAACTGGGCAGTCCACTTGTGTCTGTCCATCCGGAGTCCCTTCGAGTAATCGCCATGCTCCGCCTAATGTAGGCGAAAAATTAAGGATATCAGAAAGAGAACAGCAACCATACCAACTTACCTGAGTTCACTCCCCACTTACAAAATAGACTCTTTTCGGGGAATCCACTGGCACCGTGAATTTGTCCGATCACGTGTAGTTCAGCCATGACGCGTTAAAATTCGTCACAGAGCATTACGTGAAATAATACAAGTATCTCGAGAGTTGTGGCAGAGAGCGGTATCGATATTCTGCGAACAAAAGCTGGAACTACAACCGGTAGTTTTCAAGTGATTAATGGTTTGGGTTTCATTATAGCTGGTAAATGTTCCCGTCCTGTTTGCAAAACTGAATAGGGAATCGTTACTAAATGTGAGTAAACCAAAGGGTTGTGGTCTGTCTATCTACCTTCAGATTTTGGAAACCGAAATGAATCCATCCAGCGAATCATCAATGAAAATTGAAAATCGAGAATTTCTGTAACATTCCACTTTGGATATCTACCTGCATAGTGCTGTGAAATTGATAGACAGTTGTCTAGCAAAATACAGTTAGTAAGGGTTATCTCGGCGACAACATAACTACGATAGACTTGAGAGTCGTGAGAAGCCGGTTTCGTAGTCTTTGCGAGAAAGCTGAGTTGTTAGAAGTGCATCAAGCGGATGTCTACCGTTAAGGAAACGATGTCAAATTAGTTCAATTTAAACATGAAGAAATCATAAAATCAAGCAGGTGAATAAAGTATACGGGCATAAGAACGTGGCTGGTAGCGACACCTAACGATAAACTCTAATGCCTTTAACCACCGAATGGATGCATTTATAGGACCCAAATCTGGAAGTCTAGCGCGCCCTACATAGCCTGGTCCACTGAGTAGATTTTTATTCACCTCCTGCTTTGTCATGGACCGACCACACTTCCTCGTCTCCTAAACAACACCCGCTCAGTGCTCATTATACAAAATACTACGATACGTCATGTGCCCTATTCGTGTTCTGATTCTTTGATGCGCTGATAACGTTCCAGGTTTGTCTCGTGTGCCTACTACCCTGCGCATACCCTCGACACGGCAGATTTTCTGTTAATTGGACAAATATGATGACAGGTGAGGGAAAATCGGCGCTTGAGCGAAAATTTATCCAAGTTTTCTCTTCTTGTTGCTATGTTCGTAAGGGAAAGATACGTGAGACGGTAAGAGTATGCCTGACTTACAAGTTATTATTAATAATTAGTAGACTTGTTCCCTTTTTGGGCCAGTGTAGGATTAACCAAACACAATTCCGCATCGCCCAGTCGAGAAGCAGACGGATAGAAGTAAAAGCAGCAACCAAACAAAAAAGTAAATCACTAGGACAATATTAAATGACGAAGAAAGAGCTTGAGTTCAGCCACGCCGCTAACCGTGGCACCTATCCATGTCATCTAACATATTAACCATTTGCTTGGCCCCTACTTGAGAGCCTTACAAGTCCGACACACGAGATAGGAATCAGAACCTCCGTATTGTGTTTGTTCAAACCGGAGTGAACATTTTGCCTTGTCAAAAAATGCTCACCTCGACCCACTCTGCAAGCACTGTCTGCCTCAGACAACCATATACGTTCAGAGATTTTATCGGCGATTTACGAATCAGAAAATATATTCTGAGACTCAGCTCCCAAATATGTTGCAAACGGCCTTAACTTCTACGAAACAAAGAAAGTACGGACGTGGCCCGTTGCAACAGGCACGCATCAGCCAGTGTTTTTAATTAAAACATGAGAGGAAACAAACGATGCGGGGCCTATGATGAAAATTTGCAGGGAAAAACGTAAAGAGTAGAACGACATACAACAAGTGTCACTGACGGCCGACGAAGGAACAATCCAGTCGGTTCAATAAACCGAAGTAAGCGTACGGTTATTGATGCAGTTGATGCATATCAGGAATAGAGAATCAGAATTGCTTCTAAATAGGGGCCGAAACCACTCTATGGCTATTTCTTATATAATCTGCCAGAGGAGAGGTAACAAGATTTCACTTCTAATGTTAGTCCACGAACAATGCGGTTTGGGTAAGCATTCAGCAATCAGTACTGTTAGAAGTCGGAACAGTATAGCTGTTGGATGCGGATGGATGTACAAATATGTCTTTCCGTGAATAAGAATAAAAGACAGAAAACACAAGCGGAGAGGATTTGCAATTATTCTACCTTTGCTTGCCTGCATTATTTTTACACATGTGTTCGTTTTTCTGATTACTAAAACTGAAGACAGCCACAAACAATTGAAGCGTTTTTGGGCATTAGTAGCAAAGTGACCGGATTATTTACTAACGACTTGATGCACTGGATGATTTCAATTGTCTATTTCAAATACAAGTCAAATACATGATGATATACCTTGCTATGCAAACAATACTTCCTTATTAGTACATAAGCCGGCCTGAGGTGACAGCTTCATCTCCAAAAATGGCTACAAAACGCTAAAATCATACGACAGGTTCGAAGATTAAAAAAGAACTTTTATAAACCAATTTGCTTGCTTGTTGTCTATTCAGAAAGATGATTTTGAATCTTATGTGAGCAGTAAGTCTTAGGGAGGTCGAGCTTGTTCTCATTTTATTGAAAACCAATCACTCTAGGGAATTCTACTTTGAAACGCTTTTCTCTTTGTCTCTAAGTGACAGTAATCCTCATAAATTGGGCCCTAATTGGGGAAATGGGAAGCACCAGAAGCAGTTAGTATTGATATTAGCTTACTTATGCTCTTTACAACTGCATTTCCAAGAGGGCTAGGCTAAGGTGGACAGAATCTTCCCAGGTGATCCGCGTCGTGAAACACTTTAGTCTACACTCGATCTTTATTACTACACTATCAACCAAGCAATTTAGCGCGCTGTTCTCTCCATGGATGGGGCTTTTCTGGGAAATTTTGAACCCATATTTATTCCTCTTCTTTTAGTTCTGGCAGATTCTTTAATCTTTTCGTGCTTAAAAGCACAACAGGTTTTTCGGATGATTTCATGGCTTTGTATTGCTTCGGGATGCAACTAACTGTTCTGTTCTCTTTCAATAAACTTGTAGTACTACCGAGTCTCTGTGTCTGTGTCGTTATCTTCATGCCAGAAGGAGCCATTTGCCATATGAAACTCCTGGTGTGCGGCATCACCATGTTTAACGATCGGGGTGTATATCTCATTAGACTGATCTCGACAGCATTCGTGCATTTTTCTCCGCACCGTCGCAGGGTCTCCTCAGACTTTCAAGACAGGCCTTGGTTCAACCCACAGAGTGCTGAAGCGTGGCTATCCGATACGCTTTCGGTTCCAAAAACAGGTGCGTGTGAACGGAGCAGTCTTGATACTTTTTATGCTCTATTCTTCTGCAAAGCGATTTTGACTTTTCATGTCCAACGGCTCCTGGAGAGCCATGGCAAATTTTCTTGATAAACTAGTCTCCAAACTTCTGCGGGGTTCGTTGGGCTTCTCTGACAATGTGTTCTGTTTCGTCCCAGTAGCTACAGTAAGACGACTTCTATGCTTCTGGACCAGTTAACATAGGATACTGAGTGACCGAAGTAAAAAAATACTGTACGAAACGCTCTGATTCAGAACGTTCACCATGATGGGGTCTTCCGACCGGCACTTTTAGTTACAAACCCGACTGATTTTGTTCCGTTCTACCAAAGCAACTCTTTGGCGTGTCAGCCAATATCCTCATACACGCATTTTCCCTTTAGAAGTCAGTTCGCTCATCTCTCCCCCAAAACCCGCATGTAGCGAGTCACAGAGTCCAAAACCAAACCTTCCAGTATATGAGGGGATCAAAGATGAAGTAGATAAGCTGTTGTACGGGCAGCTATAATTTATTTGAACGTTGGATTAAGTATCTTGCGTATACGGAAGGATTGTTTGTCATTTTCGAACATCAGTCATCTGTGGTGTCGACGGGACATCAATTTGCCTATCAAACGTTGCATGTATGATGAAGCAGTTAGGCAAGTTCTTCTTTATGGCTCAGAAAAATGACCACTACCGGTGGAGGATATACGAATACTGTCGGCATTCGAAGATTGCTTTATTCGTAGCACTGATTGAATCTGGCGGGACCACCGTCTCAACAATACTGAGGTTAGGCACATGAACTAAATCACTTGGTGAAACGCCAAAGGCCACATGGCTAAGGTGGTCGAGACATGTGTTGCGCATGTCCCCGAACAGAATTCTCGGGCGCACAACGTTCGCTGAGGGGACTAACGGTTGGGAAATGAGTAAAATTAGCCAGTTCTGTTATGAACACCTCCGGTTAACAAACTTTGCTTCCAAGTTGTTTGCGTTTGATAAATCATCTAACATGTATTCTATTTTTACGTTTTAGCAAGTACCACGTTTCCATATGAATAAAGTCTAACTCATGACAATTCTTTCTTAGTCGTTATCGTTTCTGCTGGACCTGTGAACGGCCTGCTACTAGCATTACACTTTTATGACATAAAATAAAATTATGAAGAGCCTGCTTAATTCACTGGGCCATGTAGGGCTTATTAGACTTCCTGGGTGGGTTCTAAGAGGTCCTCACCCATTGGTTTGATAAATTGAAAGATGGGGTTAGATATTGCGATCAGTGGTGTCCCTGTATTCACAGAGTTTTATCGACTTGATATCATTATGCGTAGTTCTTTCATTACTTTTACATCCTCTTGTTTTTATTATTCCTGAGTGAGTATATCGCTAAAACATATCAGTCAGAGACACCGCACCCAGTTAACGGCTACTGGCCGCTTGAACTGAAATGAAGTGGGACTAGAAATGCTCCGGCAGCAAACAAATGGTTTGTATCTTCCTGAGTGTCTTTGGACGTCCCCGTTTACGGCAACATCTTCGCACAAAAATATTAGTCTACAGTTACAATCTGCGGTTTCCTTAAATAATGTGAGATATATTATTAGATTTTACTTTTATCATGCAACTAAGAAACTGGGGTACGGTTTGAGCGCGTTTTCCGGGTTCGTCTATGACCGCCTCTAAAGTGTACGTTTTTATTTCGTTGAGGGTTACTCAGGGGTACGGTCGGGGGGCCGGATGACATCCACCCAGCAATACTGAAGCCACTAGCGCCCATCCTGTCTGAACCACTAGCTAAGCTGTTCAACGCGTCACCAGGCAAGAGTGTACTACCTAAAGACTGGCTTGTACCGATCATCACACCCGTTTATAAAGGTGGAGACAGAGACACATGTACCGGTTACAGACCAATTAACTCGACATCAGTGGTGCTTAACACTCTCCAGAGAATACTACGAGATAAAATAGTGAGGCATTTAGAGAGAAACAAGCTGGTGACTGCCAACCGGCACGGGTTCTTGCACAAGCGCTCTTGGCTATCCAATCTAGTAAGTTTCTTGGATGAGGTAACCGGTCGAGCGGATCGAGGAGAACGGGTGGAAGTCTGCTATCTGGATTTCTAAACGGCATTTGATTCGAATAACCACGGACTGTTCGGAACAAAGGTGGAATCGTTCCAACTTACGGCCAAAATACAGAAGCCTAAAGGAGACAGTTTCCCGAGAGAGTGGAAGACTGCTTGTCGGACAATGAGAGACCGCATAGTGGCGTTCCGCAAGGGTCAGTCCTGGGACCCCTGCTGTTCCTTATG